AAATGGCGATGGTCGGACAAAGCCTTGTATATAAGGAGTGTTTTGTACCTTTTTAAGTTAATTCGGGTACCTATTTCACCCTTTAGGCCTTTTCCTTTTTATGATTTTGTTTTCCATTTCCTACGGGCAACTTGTACAGAGTATATGGGTAAAGCAGTTATGCGAGAAGAAAATATCCAATGTTGTTTTTAATGGCGTTAGCCTGAAGGCCCTAAGTATAATATAATCAATTTGTACGTCGAAAATTTCACTAAACTTCATTAAGTTAGAGCTACAATGCGCATGGTGCACATGTGGCATGAGAGAGATCGACAAAAAAAAATTAGTTTTATGACATTTTTCTCTTCGTCTTTCCACGGTCTTATGTGCTTTTGATAAGAATATCTCCAATGCTAAAACGTGAATGATGCATATGTGACATGAGAGATAGTCAATTAAAAAATAATAAATAAAATATATTTCTCCTTATTTGAAAGATTTTGTATCATTTTGGTAAGTTTTTCTTCACAATGTCAAACACAATGTCTAGATGTAGACATTGTGCTTGACATTGCAGAGGAAAACTTATCAAAAACACATAAAACCGTTGAAAGAATGAGAGAGAAATGTCATCGTGCACATTGTAGCATTAGAGATGCTCTAAGTTTTTCTCTCCAATGTCAAACACAATGTCTACATCTAGACATTGTGGTTGACATTGTGAAGAAAAACTTACCAAAATAATATAAGATTCTTCAAGTAAGGAGAGAGATATTTTATAAGAATTTGCCCCAAATGGGACTAAAACATTAAGGAAAAATCAAAATAGGACTACAAGTTTACTATTTCCAAAATAGGACTCGAGATTACATTTTTGACCCCTTATGTATTAATTTAATCCACCGACTTCACTCCCAATTGATTCCGTTAATCTGCAACTTCTCTCCCAATTGATTCCGTTAATCTGAAACTTCTCTCCTGACCTTGGAATTGCAATCCTTCGTCTGCGATTGCACGCAACGATTGTGCCTGCGACGGAACGCAGCCCCTACATCATCAACGACGGCTGCTCTCCTCATCGACGCCAATCGCACCTATTTCTCCGGTGAAAATAGGTAATCCTCTCCAACTTTCTTTGATCTTCTTCTTCCTCTTTTTTTTTTTCTTTTTTCTTCTTCTCCTTCCTGTTCGATCTTCATCTTCTCATCATCTCTGTGGTGCTTTGTTGGCTTCTTCTTAGAATGATTTTGTTTACTTTTCAACCAACAACTTTTTTATTTGAGCAGTACGAAGTATTATGATTTTGATTAATTGGGATTGGATTTGAATTTTATTTATTAATTTGGATTTTTTGTGTTTGAATTTTATTTTTCGAGAAAAATGTCACTTTTATAATCTGAGAATGTCAAATTAAAATTATTGATTATTTGAAAAAACTGTCATGTTTGTGGCAGTATATTTATGAGGATGACAATCTGAAAATGTCACATGTCCATAAGAAAATGTCTTCTTATGGCATTTTATGACATTTTTATCACTTATTTGAGAATGTCATGTTTTGAAGAAAAAATGTCACTTTTATGGCAGTAACTACTATGACAATCTTACTTTGAAATTATAACATTTGTAATGTCATTTTTTCGAAGTGTGATTGCCATCTTTATAAATATGTTGCCATAAAAGTGGCATTTTCTTCTAATAATTTTGACATTCTGAGTTTAGAAAAGTGACATTTTCCAGAATTTACCAGAATTAAACAAAATTGGAAAAAAAATATAAATTCAAATATATTCGATCATGGTCATACATTGAAACTCACTTTTCATCTCAAATTTTAGATCCAAAATACTATTTTCATTTGTTAATAGAAAAAATTTGAAAAAGTTAAAATACAGAAGAAGATAAGAAGAGGAGGAAGAAGAAGAAGAAAAGGGGAAAAAGAAGAAAAGGAAGAAAAGAAGACGAATAAATGAGTTGATTCCCTCAATTCACTTGACGGTAGGAATCTGGAGATCTGTGAGAGATCGTTCGTAGAGTAGCAGCGGCTCCATACGGAAGCTTGGAGTTTTATATTGAGGGGTAATTTTGTCAAGCTGCTATATTTTAGTCCTAAAAACGTTCAAAAAAACATGGTAGTCCTAGTTTTGCATTTTTCTATTGTTTTAGTCCCATATAGGAAATTTACTCATATTTTATTTTTTGTTTTTTGATTGGTTATCTCTCATGCCATGTATGCATGATTAACGTATTAGCTTTGGAGATGCTCTCAGGGAAATGTGCACTGTCAAGTGTAAATTAAAAATCACGGGTAGCTGGAATTAGGGGTGTGCACTGGTTCAAAACCGGACCAAACCGAACCGGAACCGGATTTGTAAGAAAATGGAAACCAAAAATCAGACCGGATATATTCCGGTTTTGATCCGAAACCGGACCGGTTTTACCGGTTTAAAACCGGAACCAGACCGGAAGAACCGGTTTCTAAAAAATTAATTTGATATACTAGAAAATACAACTAATTTGTTTAATAAAAATGGGGTATTTGTTGCTAATAATATTACTATTACTAGTACTTATTTATTTACTTTATTAGTCTTATAGAACAAAGATTGAAGCAATTTGAGGGTAAAATAGTAAATATTAGTTAATTCTATTATCAACAAAATAAGAAATATACAGATGAATAAAACGTGACGAAAATATATATATACTACAAATGGAAAAGATTACTATTAATATTTTTATAACTATCATTAATTTTATTATTCTTTAACCATTTTATAGTAAGACTATTAATTAATATACGTAGTATTAAAAAATATAGCAAACCGGTTTAATTTGGTTCAAACTGGAACGAACTGGTTTTTAACCGAAACCAGACCGGAAACCGCGTTTACAATATTTGAAAACCGAAAACCAGACCGGATATCATCCGGGTTGGTTCGGTTCCAATTTTTTCGGTGCGGTTCGGTCTGGTTTTCCAGTTTGAACCGGTTTGTGCACACCCCTAGCTGGAATATTGTTTCATGGTAGCCGCCGACCCACAACTCCACATGTCCACAACGCAAAGCCCCACCCGTCAATTCCCCATCAGACTAATACAGAGTAATTAACAAAGACTACATTAAACAAGTCCACTTACCATTTTTTGAAAAATTGTGTGGTTCACAATCATTTACATTTTTCTGACACAATTATAACCATACATTTCCACTTCCTTAATTTGCAAGTCAAGTCAACGACTCAACGTGGGAAGTTTTTTTTAGGACGGAAGTAGTAATTGAATAAACAACCATACAAACAATATACTCCTTGGACTGTTCTGTTCATTAATAATTTGCAATTTGACATAAATTATTAGTAATTTATTACTAACAAAATTTTCATTTTTATTATATTTATACTCCGGGGCGGAGGTAGAACTGTAGAAGGGCCCAACCGGGCCCCACCCCACCCTTTGCTAAGCCCATGTTTCTACGTGTGCTAAAAACGCCTAATTTTTTTATTGCACAGGGTCTACGTTTTTTCCGGACCGGCCCTGAATAAACCAAATAGGAAAATGAGTGCATTAATACAAGTGTTAGGCTGAATGTTTAATTCGTCTCTGATATGATGAGTACGCCGTATTTCATGATTTTCCCTTTTTATTTTTATTATTACAATGACGTTCTATGATCCATATTAGGGATGGATTGGGGCAAGTCGGCCCAACCCGGTACTGTTTAGGTCAAGCCCGATCCGTTACTGTATTGGCTCGGCCCGGTGGCTATAAGGGTGGGCTTTAGGCTTAATTTTTTTTATCCTGACCCAGCCGGGCTCGCGCGTGGGCAGGGCCCGATTGCACTATTCTTTAATTTAATGCCTAGTCCCGTCCCAGAGCCCGACCTGACCCGATCCCGGTACAAACCCGGGTCCGTACCGTGCCTGAAATCCTTAAGCCTGATCCCGCCCAATCCCGGCCTGAGGCACAGCCCGGCTCGATCCCAGTCCACCCCTAATTCATATAAATAATTTCCTTTTTCTATTGTCTAATGATTTTACAACTTTCTGTTTTGTTGATTATGTTACCTATGGGCTATGGTTAACTTGTACGGAGGATATGGGCAAATTTACTCTCATTTATTTTTGTTCCGCATTCAAAATCTTTTTTTTTTTGCAAGAAAAATCAAAATTTTTAATCACCAAAAAATTTGGTGGTTGTGATTTCCTCCAAAAGCCAAATCTGTCTACGTAGTACTAGATAACTGAAAGACGAAATATCATAAGAAATAGGGAGATTTGACAAAAATAATACTCGTATTACGTGGTAATAGATAACTCGAAGACTAAAATAAGACTTATTTATGGTAAATGGCTTGTATTGAAACATTTGAAATAAAAAAAGTTACATCAAGACAAACATCATGACCCAATCACCTACCATTAATTGGACCAGATTTAGAGTCAATATAACTTGTGAATCACAACACGGACGCCTGTAAGCCAAACATGATAGATTCGGATTCCCGTTGTTCACCCGGATTTCAACTTGACTCCTAACAACTAAAATGAAGATAACCAAAACAAAGCCTGACTTGAATGACACAAAAACTGTAACTAATATTACGTACAAAACTAACTAAAATATAATGCGGAAATGAAAACCGAAACCTCAACCTCCCAGGCGGGTCCGTAGAACAGAACCCGCCCCAATCGAGTTTTTGTACTTACCCAACTCGAGACCGCTCGGTTATTTTGAACACGATCTATTTTTATGTGGGCCTAATATTGTAAAATGGAGTGTATTCACACTCCACTCCGATGCAAGAGTGAAAAAGCCAAAAAAGAGACCCCAAAAGAGACCCCATACTAGACCTTGTTTCTTTTTCCATTTGCCAACTACGGAGGACTGGTTCTACATTTTTCTACATTCGAGAATGCATCTATATTTACAAAGTGTATTTGATGATGTGGGGTACAATGATTCGATGTAACAATAAAGTTTTTGTGTGGTTGATGACTAATGTAAATACAAGAAGAAAAAACAAAAGTATTCTTACCTCAAAATAGAATATGATTACTACACGTACACAATAACAGTTCCTTGAGCGATCCAACTCAGAGGACGGTGATTCACTATTTCAAGTAATTCATTGAATAAGAGTGCATAGATGATAGGAACCTCGGAACTGATTAATCTTAATAGGAATTTTACTACGGTTGAAGAGAGCAGAAAAATAAAAGAGAGCTGGAAGGAGAGACAAGCTTAGAATTGGATGAGCCCTTTTCCATCCTGCAAAAAGTTTCAACCAATATCATGGGAGAATACAATTTTATCCAAGGAATAAGAAAAGCCAGCAACATGTAGTGTACTGCTCGATCACTAAGTCACTCCCAGAGTAGAGCTGAGAAGAAAACTTTACTCTAAGGTACTGCTACTTTTTTTGCAATGGCAGGTCATACGTTCATCTTCTTTATCATTTTTCTTCCTTTTATGCATTTCTCTGCAGCTTTGAAACTGTAAGGCATAATTCTACAGAGTATGAAGATGAGCCTAACTAAAAAGAATGGTGTTTTAAGTAAGTGGGACTCAAGGGACATCACTCCATGTGAGTGGTATGGTGTGAGATGTAACTCCGATTAAGAAGTTATAAAACTTGTTCTAGCTTGCACCAACCTCACCGGAACTATTCCCGGAGACATTGGAGGTCTTATTCCACTGAAGTACATAAACCTTAGTGAAATAAGCTATCTGGTGATATTTCTAGAGAAATATGTCACCTGTCAGATCTCCAATAGCTTGATTTGAGCTCCAACAGATTAACAAGGTCTATCCCTTATGAAATCGAATTCCTGAAAAAGCCAACCTTGTTAATTCTATGTGACAACTAGTTGACTAGACCTATACCAAATACATTCACGATCCGAAAACTTAGAGATATTTCGAACTTGTGACAACGCCTACCTCAAAGGTTCTCTTCCTCCACAAGTTGGACAGCGTAAGAACTTGACCATTTTAGGTCTTTCATGTACCCATCTTTCAAGGACTTTACCATCATCTCTCGGGCAAAATCCCATAAGAACTTGGTGAATTCATTTCTTTGAAGAACATCCATCTCCACATGAATGCTCTCACTCGATCAATTTCAGCTACTTTAGGTAACCAAAGTAACCTTGAAACACTTTTGTTACTTTCGTTTTGGGATAACAAGTTTGTTGGTGACATTCCTTATGAACACAGTCACCAATTGCAAATAATTGATATTTTCAACAACTCCTTAATCGGTGTCCCCGACAGTTTAGGGAACTTACACATTCTAAAAGAGCTTTCTTTAAATATGAACTTGTTATCTGATCCCATGCATTCTTATATATGTAATTCTACAAGTTGGAGCATATAGAGCTTTCAGAGAACCGATTATCCGGTTCGATACCGGTTGGAATTTAAAAAACGTTTAATCTAAAGGTCTCTTGTATCTGTGGAGGAACTAGTTTGAGAGACACATTTCGTCAAACATTTCACCATGTCACAGTCTATAATATATTGACTTATCTTATAATGCATTCACTGGTTCAATCTCCAAAAGCTTTTTCCAACTTCGGGCCCCGAATGTCATGACACTGATATCCAATAAACTTTCCAGAGCCCTACCACCGGTAATGGGTAACTGTTCCTCGCTTGTTTGGTTCTGTGCTATTTAGAATAAACTGTCAAAATCCATATCGTTGGAGATAGGTAACTTGGTGATTTAAAATTTCTTGGAACTAGAGTTGAATAGACTCACTGAAATTATTTCGACTGAAATACATAGATGCAAGAACCTAATGTTTATTGACCTCTACTCCAACTCTAGTTTGAGTGCGATTCCTGACCAATTGGGAGGGATTTTTTATGTGAAGGAACTTGATCTTTCAGATAATTTGATCGAAGGTATTTTAAGTCCTAATATGGTGTTATTAAGCTCACTCAACAAATTGATTTTAGGACGAAACCGGTTTTTTGGCTCAATCCTGACACAACTTTGCATGTGTTTGAAGCTTGAATTGATTGATTTAAGTAGGAATCAGTTTTCCGGTTTGAGTAAAATTCTAGTTCTAGCAATTTCCTTAAATCTGAGCTGGAATAGACGTTCAGGTTTAATTCCAAGGGTAAAAAACTTTAATAGGAGTAAAACAAGTGACATGAACGTAAATAGGAGTTACAGTCTCCAATTTACGTTCATGGTACTTTTTTTACTCCTATTGAAGTGTTTTTGCCTTGGAATTAAACCGGAATGTCTATTTCAGCTCAGATTTAAGGTAATTGCTAAAACTGGAATTTTACTCAAACCGGATGGACTGTTGCCGGAAAACTTATTCCTACTTAAATCAATCAATTCAAGCTTCGAACACATGCAAAGTTTTGCCCGGATTGAGCCGAAAAACCGATTTCATCCTAAAATCAATTTGGTGAGTGAGATTAATAACCCCATATTAGGACTTAAAATACCTTCAATCATATTATAGATCAGGTTCCTTCAAACAAACATTCCCTCCCAATAGGTCAGGAATCGTACCCGAAATAGAATTGAAGTGGAAGTCGATAAACATTAGGTTCTTACACCTATGTATTTTAGTCGGAGTAACTCCAGTGAGTCTATTCAATCCCAATTCTAAGAAATTTAAATTCTCCAAGTTTCCTATCTCCCACGCTATGGATTCTGACAATTTATTTTGACTAGTTCGGAACCAAACAAGCGAAGAGCAGTTACCTATTTTCGGTGGTAAGACTCTAGAAAGGTTGTTGGATATCAGTGCCACTACATTCAGGGCCCGAGTTGGAAGAGGCCTTTGGGGATTGAACCAGTGAATGCATTATAAGATATGTCAATATCTTGTAGACTGTGGCATGAAGAAATGTTTGACGGAGTGTGTCCCTCAAACTGGTTCCTCCACAGATACAAGATCTTTAGATTAAACACTTTCTCAGTTCCAACCGGTATTGAACCGGAAAACTGGTTATCTAAAAGGTCTATATGCTCCAAGCTTGTAGAATTACATAAATGAGAATGCATGGGACCGGATAACAAGTTCATCTTTAAAGAAAGCTCTTTTAGATTGTGTAAGTTCCCTAAATTGTCGAGGATACCACCCGTTAAGGAGTTGCTAGAAAGATCAATTCTTTGTAATTGGTGGCAGTTTCCGAGCTCATAAGAAATGTCACTAACAAACATGTTCTCCCGCAACGAAAGTGTTTCAAGGTTACTTAGATCACCTAGAGTAGCCGAAATTGATCCAGAGAGAGCATTCCTGTGGAGATGGATGTTCTTCACAGAAATGCATTCACAAGTTCCGATGAGATTTTTCCAGAGAGTGAAGAAGAGTAAAGCTCTTGAAAGACGGGCATATGAAAGTCCTAGGATGGTCAAGTTGTTACATTGTCCAAATTGTGGAGGGAGAAAACCCCAGAGGTAAGTGTTACTACCAGCTCGAAATATCTATAAATTCTCCAGATCACCAATGGTATTTTGTATAGCTCCAACCAAGTGGTTGTCATATAAAGTTAACAAGGTCAGTTTTTTCAGAAATCCTATTTTAGAAGGTATTGTCAGATTGGAGCTCAAATCAAACTGTTGAAGATCTCGCAAGGGACAACTTCCTCTAGGAATATCACCGGATTGCTTATTCCCGCTAAGGTTTATGTACTTCAACAAGGCCTCCAATGTCTCCGGGAATAGTTTGGGTCAGTTGAGGTTGGTGCGAGTTAGACCAAGTCTTATAATTTCATTATAGGAGTTAGATCTGACTCCATACCAACCACACAAGGTGATGTCTCTTGTGTCCCAATTACCCATAACACCATTGTTTCTGATTAATCTCATCTTCATACTTGGTAGTATTCTGCCCTTGCTGATTCAAAGCTATAGACAGAAGCATAAAAGGAAAACAAAAGATAAAGAAGAGAAAGGTATAAATTGCCATTGTAACAAAAAATAGCAGTGTTTTATATGAATTGGAATAAACTCTGTACAGAGGAAAGCTCAAGAAATAGTGCTCATGAAACAGATGAAAATGGATTGGATTCCATATATCCCTTTGGACAATAGGTATTGTCATATACATAGTATTTGTTAAAATCACATAAAGGGATTTACTCGGTGCATTGTTTTTATTTTTTATGATAATTAGTTATTCAATATCTCGTTCTTTCAGGACTTCAGGGGTTCTCAGATTGAAAGACTCAAATCCCAAATTTTTATTTTGGGCTGTACACAAAGAAGGTATGTGGTGTTGTGCATTCAAATCCTTTATAACCTAATAATTATTTTGTGCTGGTTTTACGAGCATCCTATTGTTGGGGCACCTAGAATGCCTTTTATAACCTATTAATTGGTCCAGAGGTTTATGGTCCACCATTGAGGTTCTCTTATTTGTCCCAACAATTGTTGTAATTGTGGGCTTCTATCTTGCAGTCAACTTTTTAATTAAATCGTCTTCATTGTCTTCATAGAGCTGGCTTAAAACATTTGAAGTTGGAGCGTGTGAAGAAGTTTGAGTTTTGCTTACCATGTCAGTGAATAATTTTACCTTGCTAGGTATGTGCATTTTTGCTAATCAATGGCAGTATTTTAGTGATGCATTTCCTTGGATGTACTCTGCTTTATACTTGGGATGGGGTGTATTTTTTTTTTAAATATCACTGAATAAAGGTTTCTAATAGAATATGCATTTTCTCTCTGAGTTCATGATATGCATTTTATAGATATGCATTCTAGATGACATGGAAGTTTATTGTGCCTTATGAGACTTAATTGAACTTATTTTATCATTCATCCAGTGAATTTTGATACTTGCTGAACTTTGTTCTTTTCTTGTTTTGTTTCCTTTTTATTTAAAACATGCACATGAGTCATAGTTTATTAAATGTAATTCTCAAGGAATAATGACATGCTGGGATATCCAGCATAGAGCTTCAGTAAACAATTCATAATAATCAAAATTTGGGAGTTGTTTTTCAATAAATTGATGATTCAAGATGATAATATTCAGGATGTTCCAAAAAACAGCATTACTAGACTAAGAGAGTAAGATTATAAATGTGAGCTTAACTCTTTCGGTCATATGATCATAAAAATGGTTCACAGATGTATGGTTTCACCAGTAAGATTATAAATGTGAGCTTAAATCCATTTCTTGAATTCAGTACTTTTTCACTGATATTTGGTACTCACTGTGGAGCTATGTGCTGTTAGTTTGTGCATATAGCCTCAACGGGAAGTCAACTCACAAATGTCTAAAATTTTCACAGATTTCTACCACCCCTTCAAGGAAGATGAGTTTGAACAGAGCACCATTGTTCCTATTTACCCAATAGACCCCAAACTTTTACGATTTGTTTGTATTGAGAAGTCTAAAACAGAATTTCCTTCAGAGTTCAGATATTACAAGATACGTTCACTAAAATATTTTCTCGTTTTATATTTGGGTACTCGATGAACTTGAGGTAAACTACTAATCTTTTGTCATCCTTCCCTCCCACAGTTTGTGATAACTCCAGCACTTGCTGGGTTAACAATGTGGACTGTCAGGAAGTCACCTAAATGTGATTTTATATTAATCACATATGTCATAGTGCCATGTAATACCTGCTTTAGGTATTTTTTAGTAAATGAGTAAATTGCTAGTATATACTTTATTGTTAATGTTGAAACTGTAAAAGGTTACAAGTGTTGTGGTCACTATCATCAACTTACCTGTTTGATAATGGGATATACTCAATAGTGCTTGCTTGGTCCGGCTGGTATTCTGGGAAGGAGCTCATTATGGCCTAAAAAGCTCATGAAGAGAAAGCATTTTTGTGATCTATGAAATTGATTTATAATAGTTCCCTTATGTCTCATTGTATATCATGACTTTGTAAAGGAAAATGTCCTTGAAGCCAAAAGGGAAAACCGCGAGGTATTTGGTTAAATGTTCTTGAAAACCTCACCTCGCATATTTTCGAAGAAAACATTATATCTGGTTTGTCTCATTGCACTGACCACAATTTCGATTTTGTACCATAGGCAAGGTAAGCCCGGAAAAAGGCAATAGCAGAAATGAGTGAAGAAACAAAAGCTGCATTTGAAAAGATGGTAGTCTACAAGTTCTACAAGTTTTATCTTCCCTTGTATGACATTTATCAACAACATAAAGTTGAGATCATGTAACTAGTACACTTAATGACCAGTTACATGTTGGCTTCATGACTTAAACATTTGTGTTTCGTGTTGTTTTGGGTTAAAAAAACTCCAACAATTAAAACTTCAAATTTTGTTTTCACCTTAAATATTACATATTGGTGTCATATGAAAGATCATAAAAATTGATGAATTTTGATATATATTTTGAAAAGTTTTGATTATCACTTAATTAACTTAGTACTCCGTATCAGTTTAGATTTTTTACCAACACGACAATATACCGCATCTAAGCAAAAGTCAAATATGTAAAACTGATCTGGGGGGCTTATTTGTGTCATTTTATGGGAAACAATTACACACATCAATTTATTACAACACATTAATGTCAGAAAAAGCATTTTTCATGCCTCAAAAGCTCTAGGAGGAATAGTGTGAACTAACCTTTGGGCTTATCATTATACGAAGTGTACTAGTTAAATCCTTTTCAGTTTATGTTTTTTATTTTCTACAGGAGTCAAAACAGTGTTTTCGTATGTACGGAGTTCACTTGTGACATTTTGACCTCCACACCACTCCAAATGGTCTTAGATCCGTAAAAAACGCTAATGAAAAAAATACAGCGTGGCAAAAACACCTATCTGAAAACATGAGGGACTCCTGATCTGTCAAATGATATGACGTGCAAATGTGCAATCTCCTTAGGAATCTCTTCCATTTTCCTCCAAGTAAACGAAGCCACAGAACAGACACTAGCTATCATCATTGCAACCTTTTTAACTTGAAATGGAATCATGTGGATTTCTTTACTGTAAGCTTTAATGAAGACCACTCAGGTATATAAGCCTCCATTATCATTTCAGATAGTATATCTACCTCAACTTCCATGAATCGCAAAGATTCTGACCACCTTATTGCATCCCTCAAAACCTCCATATCCGATGACGAGCCACTGAGTGGAAAACCTGCTGCTGCTACCATAGCTCCAGGCTCCAGCATGGTCACGCAGAAGAAAGCCCGAGGAGGAATGGAGGATTTTCTAAACTGACGGAAAACCGCCCAATTAAGCTTGAGTTGAGGATATGTCGGCTTTTCCCATCTTCCCACCTGTAGTTTACTGATTTTGAAGTCCCAAGGAAGTAGCCCCACGGACTTTAGACGCCCTGTGGCATGCAATTTCTTATTGGCAAAACACCAGGCTAGCATAAACTTTTAGCATGCAATTTCTTATTGGCAAAACACCAGGCTAGCATAAACTTTATTAGTCGAGTGATGATACTTTTCACACTTTGAGCAGAATCTGCTGTGTAAATTCCATCCATATGCTTAGAAGAGGCCCTGAGCCACTACTCAATGCACTCATGCCTAATGTTATTGGTGGGCTTCCCATTTTTCCAACAGAAGACCATTAAAATACCTCCAAATTTGACTTGCCAAAGTACATTTCAGAAGAACATGATCCGGGGGCACTTCATTCTGTTTGCAAAACGGGCACATAGCAGGGTAGGCGTCTGAAAAAAAAAGCAAGATGTTCAGGGACGGGCAGACTTTTATTCCAGTCTCCAGAGAAAAAAACGGACTTTTTTAATTTGTTTGGGATGCCAAATATTTAATAATGAAAGTGTAATTCCTGCATGCCTATGTAAGCTGATTTAGTCATAAATTCTCCATTTTCAGTGTGGTTCCATATCAATGAGCTAGAAGTCCTTATAACCATTGTCTCCGCTTCCTCATTGATATTACTAATCTGCCTCCAAATTGGAGAATCTGTAGGCTTAAATTTGGCCCAAAGTGTCTCGCCCTTTTGATACTCCCACCAGAGTTTAATAGAATATACTTTCTGACTATCAGAAAGAGACCTAAAACTGACTACTTTACTTCCCAGAAAAATTTAGGGAATTTAGCCCTTTTGATACTCCCACCAGTTGGTTTACAAAGGTCTTAAAATTTAGCCCAATGATGTTTGTGAATGCTTCCTTTACTTCCCAGAAAAAAATGGCAGTTTTCCTCTTAAGAAGTGTTAAAACTGAAGCTGGTTATTGAGTAATTGGTAATTGATGTAAAGATATTCCACCTTCTTTCTTGGAAGTTGCCAAGAGGCATCTCACACCTTCTAGGAAGGAGCCATCCAACATTGAGGTACTTCAACATCCCTTCATGGAAGTTGCTTGGAGATAGCTAGGAACCTCCCTAGAAATGGGAATGGAAGCTTGGATGCAACTTCCTCATGTCTCCCATATACACCTATAAATAGGGAGTGTATTGTTGTTCATTATCATCAGTTTAGAAAGTGAGAAAAGTGTGTGAAGAGTGAAAATACACTTAGAGTAGAAGTGTATTGGTGAGGATTGGTTTTTTGTAATAGTTGAGTGTGAGAGTTTGCTCCTCCTATTGTAATTCTGTTCTTGATATTGAATAGAAGAATTTTCCAATCCCAACAATTGAGTTATTGCAAGAACATGCCCGATTAGGATAAGACGCCTTCCTTGAGATAGAAGATTTTGTCTCCAAGAAGAGAGCTTTTGGTCAAAAAGCTCCAACAGATCCTTGCAATGTGAAATCCTGGTAATACCCTTATGTAGATTGACTGTATTTGATTGGTAGATTGGTCTTTTTTATACCCAACTTTTCCATAATATTGATTCTCCCCGTTGAAGTATGCTTGGCTACCAGAAAGCTACTCTTAGGAGGTGTTTGGAACTGATTCTCCTTTTTTAAAGCAGAAGCAGAAGCAGAATCAGTTTTCAGAATCTGGTCCCCCAGCTTCTAAAAATTCTAAGAGTAAATTAGAGCACCAGAATCACTTCTGCATTTTCACCCAAACACTCCAACTTCTGCTTCTACTCCCTGAAGAAGCAAAAGCAGTTTAAAGAACCAGATCCAAACACCCCCTTAGATTCACCAACTAACCTGATGCTAGTTGATAGTGCTTGAGGAACTAGACTCAACTAGGTGAAATTCTTATGACTAGAAAGTTCCCGAAATATGAGTAGATAGATTTTGGAATTTCAAAATAGGATATTATGTTTTTTTTCTCGAAATATGAGTAACATGACAATATTTACTGCCATTTTGGAGATATTATTATCAAATATATAGTTGCAATACTAGACATTAACATGACAGTATTTACTGTTATGCAATACTAGTCATGTTTCAAAAAGAAAAACATTTAGTCTTATTTTGGAATTCTAAAATCTATTTACTTCTAATTAGGACAATTATTGAAGTTTAGTCCAATTAAATACATCCGTATTATTAGATACCAATTTATTTATATATAAAAAAAAAGATACCAATTTATTTTTATACTAAAAGTGAATGTGTATATAATTTTTTGTACTTACCAACCTAGTGAAATCAATCACGATACAGTAGTACGAAGTATAATACACACATTTATACGAGGTACATATATGCACATGCTATTTTGGTATTACTACCAATATGATGAAATCATGATGATACGGTAGTATAGTAGTAAAAATAAAAACAATTGCGGTGTATTATGTAGTATATATACATATATACTCTGTATAAGAGAGGTTTAAAAGAGATTAAAGAAGAGATGAACGATCTTGTGTTGGGTGTCCTGCTCCTATTTCTTTGTGCTACATTGCTCGGAACAAAAGGTAATCAACATATATGGATTAAAACATGGTAAACATTTCACATGAGAAACAAATACACATGCTTTGTATAGTAATGCACTAATGCTTGACAAATTCTAGTATACATTATGTTGTTTGTGCCAACAATTGTAATTATTGTGCCAAATTAGTTAATTAATACTCATATCCCGAAATGCATGAGTTGTTTGTAATTTTGTATGATGTGCTGGATGCTCCAAGATGTATGTTGCCCTTTAAATACTATTACCTTCATTATTTTTTAATAAGTGTAACATGTTAAATTTCACAATATTCACATGTTCTATTCTGATTACGTTTTATTTGTTTAAAAATTAATAAATTAATTTTTAAAAAGTATTGTTAAAAATTTTTCATTGTAAATTTTCAAAATCTTAATCTTTTAATTTTTTTACTTCCAGAGAATAAAATATACAAATGGCCGGGCTAGACAAAGTTATGCATTTGTAAACTTAACAAACGGACGTTATACTTATTTAAAAACGAAAGTAGTATATATTATATATTTTTTTGTGGGAGTGAAATAGTTAGATATAAAATCCCGTCTTTCATACCATACCATTAATCTGGTTTCATGGTCAAAAGATTCAAAATAATATGGTGTAATATTAGTACAAACAGTATCACTAGTTTACCACTCATTTATCACTAGTTTACCACTACAATATTTATACTACCTCCGTCTCAAATTGGTTTACAAATTTGACTTTTCTTGATCAAACAGTTTCATTTTATTTACTTAATCAGAATCTCAATTTTTAATTATATTCTAATTTGGAGTTTGCAACTTTGAAGAGAATGTAATGTAGTTTTTTAATATGTAAATTTTAATTATTAAAAGTTGAGTTATTTATCGATAAGGAGGCTTGACTTTTATTATTGGTTGACAAAAAAATGTTGACTTTGTAAAACAATTTGGGACGTAGGGAGTATGACTTTTGTAGATTTTTTTGATTTTTTTTATTCGAACAAGGGCATTATAGTGAATGTGCAATTTTTTTATGATTTAGGAAACATTCTTGATTGTGCCAGCCAAACATGCCACAACACGATCGCTGCGGAGCCACCCACATTCATCCACTCCAAAGGAAGCGGTATTAGACATGATGAATTTTTATCTGAATCAATCTCCACCCTTAAGCATCAATTAAACATTTAAAAACCGGCCCGTTATGTGAAAAACTAGTAAATTACTTAAGGCTAATCAAATTATGGTGTGAAAATATATGAAATATAACTACATTAATATACGAAAAATGTTACATACCAATATACCGTTAAGGTATCAGCTGGTTAGTTCATGGGTTAGTCGAGAATAATTTAATATTAATCATTAAGTTTTCAGCATAATATTCAGTTATAGATTAATAGCTATAATTATTATTTTCATTATTTCATTTAAGTTCTTTAATAAATCATAAAGAAAAATAAAATTAAATAATTAAAAAATAATACTTATGAAATAATCCAATACTACTATATAAAATTTATTCTCCTTATTTAAACTTATACTCCATAATTTATAATAAATCATGACCGAAAAGTATAATTGTTAAAAAAAATGGAATTTGAGTCTTTTTTAAAAACAAATAAGGAATAACATAAATTGTGAATTAAATGATAATATATGATATATTAAGCTAACAATAAATAATAATTCAATTTGAAAATACGTTATATCCATCCCACCTGACATTGTTTTTGGCACTGTGTTTTAGGAGACCAACCAATTGAAGGAATACCTTTCATACCCTTTAATTTGGGAATAATAAATATTATCAAAGTAGATTTAGGATCACATACAAACTAATCCTAATTTACAAAGTGCAAATTAATCGTGACCATCCATATGAATGAGATAAATGGTGTGGATGAAAAACCTCCCCATTAATATGGTTGAATGAGGTTATCCGTAGGTAGTGGATAAGATTTAAAAAACTCCCAACTATTACGGCTGATTTTTAGTGGTGTAAACAAATCTTAACCTTAATTTTATAAAATTGGACGGATGAGATGATTTTGCATTTTGTACCGGAAGCATGCTTTGTATCTGATCTCTTCCCTATCCAAGTAAATGTAAAAATGAATGGATGGTGAAGCGTAATTAGGACGATTAATGTAAAAGAGTCGGGGAAAAGGGAAATTTAATGATTTAAATGGCGAGGAAATTTAAATGTTTTTAGTGTGTTTATAATCTATTACGGACTACGGAGTACTACTACGTAATTACGTAGTATTGTATTTGTTTCACTACAAATGCCAATATGTTTTTTCTTATTGTGATGAAGTTTGAACGTATCACCCTTCTCTTAAAGGGCTACAATAATGAATCACTAATATAAGAAACATATGATTGATTCATATTATTATTTCATCATTTGTTTATGTTTAAATTACTCAATTCTAATATTTTAAACGGTCAATACTCTTAACTGTTTGTAAGAATATGTGTCATTAAAGTGTGAATTTTATGCGCAGGAACCCGATATAAATACATTCCCAACTTGCAGCCTAAAGGTCAATATGATCACGGGGTTACTTACACACCGGAAGATGATCAAGTGGATTATGATTCTGCAAAGCCTTCCCCACCCATTATTCATAATAACCCTCAATTTCGCTATTAAGTTCTTACATAATAATTAAATATTCGTATTTTCACTATATCCTTTCACAAAATAAATTACAAAATTATTTTTTACTACGTATTTTGGAGAGACCATGTTCTTAGCTTGTTGTCGGGGTTTTCAGAGAAAATAAGGACCTCGATTCATATTACGAGGAGCGGTTACTATTCATTCCATTGATCCAAATTTTGTTCACCATACTAAATATCGACCTTGAAAAAACTCAAAAAAGGATGTCAGCCAAGACGGATTGGACAGTTATTTGGGAGTTAATTTTGCTCATACTTTTTGGCATACAATGTGTAATTGTGTAAAACTCGAAAGAAAAACTATCATATATACCCTCATAATATTACAAGAAAATCATTGAATTCTCATATTACCTCCGTTCTTAAATAAGTGCAACAGTCAACCTTTCACATTTGTCGAGGCACAACTTTGACCATTAATATATATAACTCTCTATTAGTAAAAAATTAAAAAAAAAATGAAAATTTACAATGAGATATATTTAGTAATATTTTTTTCAAAAATATATATTAATACATCAATAAATAAAATGTAGTCAAAGTAGAACATGTGAATAGTGTAAAATTTGCAATGTTGCACTTATTTAAGAACGGAGGTAGTGGTATGTGAGTATCACTTATTTAAGAACATGTGAGTAGTACTTCCTATATACATACGACCTGTGCAAACGAAAATAGTGGTATGTAACATTACTTAGTTTATGAATTGCTCCTGAGCTTCCTCATGCATCTCACTAGTAGATTCATTCTGGCAGCTTAACTTTTGGGACATCTTGCAATGTGTGGCTTCTAAATTAGTCATTTCTACCTCTATTGTCACGGGTAGCCTTCCTTCTCTTCTCATTATGTCTTTTTACATGGTGGATATCTTATATTTGTTCTCCTCGTCCACATTCATTGACTCTACCATGACATACTGATATCTCAATCATACCTTGTCTAGAGTGTGAGGTGAAGGTTGGAAGAATGCATCATCTCCCTTTAATAAATCATCCAAATTCTTAAGTGTTGATTGGTCTTTCAAAGATTGTACTCCTTATAGAGACCTAGTTCTAGAATGTTAAGATTTGAGGATTTAGCTTTTGGTTAGTCAAGCTAATATCGAAACCATCAGAAGTGACTGCAACCCAGCAATCAGTCTGTGACCTTCAGACCTTGTGTTGTCACATTGGATGATGATGTCCTCGCTTGAATGTTCAGGTCATTTTTTCTTGGTTGTTGCCTTGGTTGTATAACGGTGTTGATTAACATGTTTTTGTTACTGCTCAATATAGGCCTGGTTTTCAACTATCCTTGCCTTGCCTGTTTTTGTTTTGCTTCTCCTTTTGATCTCAACTATCCTCCCGAGTTTCTGATAATATAGGTCGCCCGTTGCTCGTAGGGATCCTCCTCTTCCAAACCCATGTGGAAGTGTTGAGAAGTTTCGACATGCAAACCCATTTTTCAATATAACATTGCAAAAGGATTTAAAATTTGACTTTATTGGAATTGTTGTGTCAAATGATTGTAACAGAAGTGAAGTATGGTCATTTTATTTGCATCAATGAGGATTGAGGAAAGATATTTATTGCATTTGTATATCTTCTGGGCATACACCTTTACACTATCTTGTGCAGGACTTAGAAGTCTCACAGGCCGAGACTAATAATGGCCTTATATTAATCCTTTTGTTCAATGAGACTCTGAAAAATCATTAATATATTTTCAGTTCCTCTAATGGTGTATATTTTGAAAAGTCTGGATGTATTTTTTTCATCAATATAATTTAGGATACTTTTCCTTTTAGTCTTTCACCAATGACCAATCATAACAGCACCTGTGTGATGATCAAACAATCATTCTTTATCATGTGACATTGTGACCATTCAAAAAATACGTAATGTTATTTTCTAGTCTTTAAAACACATCTTAAAAACTTGAATGATTAGTCTTACATTGTTCAAACTCCACTAAGTTATGAACTTATGATGACTTTAAAACTTCTAGTATAGTTACAACTTACAAATGATGAATTAAAAACTTCTAGTATAGTTATGCAACTCACATTGATTTTTTTTTCAACTGGAGATACTACTCTTAGAGTTCGAGAGATCTAAAAAAAAAATAGTGCATATTACTGAGATGAAAAATAAAAACAATTATTTTGTTGAAAATTAAAACAAAATGTATCATACTTGTCATTGAATTGTATATAGTGTTCTTTCTACTATATTGAAAAAAAAGTATTACTGCTTTTTTCTATTTATACCACACAGTAATTCAACTCATACAGAAAGGAAAAATATGAAATAGAGACCGGAAGGTAACATGCACGGATTACCAAGACTGGAATAATCGATAGGACATTGCCGCGTTGGCAAAATCTTTTCATAATAACAATAGTTAACAAGGTCTCTCATATTAGAACAACATGCTCAAACCCCCCTCAAGAAAGCTACCTGTCTAAAACTAAATCTTAGAGAACCTCTCAAAACCGGCCTGGTTCCAGAATCAGAACCAGACCCGAATAAACATGGGCTGAATAATGAAGACTACTAAAACAAATAATCGTCTTGATCTTCATAATGATTTTTTAACAAGGGAGTACATGCTACAAAATTGAACACAGACACTAGACTTATAAGAATACATGCTCAATCGAGCTGCAGTTTGGTTTACTTGAGCAGCTCGGGAGTGCTGATGAATGATCAGACTACCTCTAAGAACCAAACATGGGGTGGTTTGTTGGTATTCTCTATCTCCACCTTGAACATGTAATCTCACAAAACTTCATGAGCCTTCCCATAGTACCTGTTGATGAATGGAGACTGCAGCACAGAGCAAAATTTAAAGACTTCGTGTAAGACTAGATGATTATCACTTCATTTATTTAGTTATCAGTTTAGATTTTTTACCAAAAAGACAATATACCCCATCTAAAGAGAAAGACACATTTGTAAAACTGATCTGGGAAACTATTACACACATCAAGTTATTACAACACATTAATGTCAGAAAAAACATTTTTCATGGCTCAAAAGCTCCAGGAGGAATAGTGTCAGCTAGCCTTTGGGCAAATCATAACACCCGAAGTACTATTTAAATCCTTTTCAATTTATGTTTTTTTCTAGAGAAACAAGTCTTAACATACTCTCAACTTTATGTTGTCGATAAATGTCATACAAAGAGAAAAGTTGAAATCAGGAATCTGACCTTCACATTTGATACATCGGGAGCATCAGGTGAGTCGACGGGATAAAACTTGTAGAATACCATCTTTTCAAATGCAGCTTTTGTTTCCTCACTCATTTCAGCTATGGCCTTTCTCCGGGCTTCCCTTGCCTGTGGTACAAAATCAAAATTGTGGTCAGTGCAATGAGACAAACTAGATATAATGTTTTCTTTGAAAATATGAAAGGTGAGGTTCGCAAGAACATTAAACCAAATACCTCGCGGTTTGCCTTTTTGGCTTCACGGACCTTTTCCTTTACAAAGTCCTGATATACAATGAAACATAAGGGAACTATTTTAAAATCAATTTCCAAGATCACAAAAAATACGTAGGGCCAATTCCACGTCCATTTTGTCTATATTCCATTCCCCAAATGGGAAAACTTTTCACTAAAAAGGTTTGGAAAATAAAAAATGCTCAAGAGTTCCCCAATTTTGAATGCTCTTTCATCTTGAACCTGAACTCAGCTTCCTCTTTTAGTTATTCACTTTACGGAGAAAGGAAAGATCTCCCATTTAATTAAAAAAAAAAACTATATAGAGTAAAAAAGCAACTATAGCATGCAAATTGCAAAGAAACGTTTACCTTGAATGCATCTTTTTGATCTGTGGACAACTCCTCTTCTTCAATAAGTTTGTCTGTGAATTCCTGCAATATTTACAATCAAGTAAATTGCAAATAAGGTTTCTGATGCAGACAAGTTGTACCCTCTAACAACAGATACATTGGTTCTTTTTTAAGTTTTTGTTTGGCTCAATAATCTACTGGATTCTTGGAGCATTATATGCTAAAACGTCAAATATGAACAGCGGATAAAAATGCTTTTTAGTTAGAGGCTCTCAAAAATGCTTTTTCTTTATGAGCTTGTTAGGCCATAATGAGCTCCTTCTCAAAAAGCTTTGATGTCAAGACTATTCAGAAAACAGCTAGGCCAACAAGCACTATTGAGTATATCCCATTATCAACCAGGTAAGTTGAGGATAGCGACCACAAGACCTTTAACCTTTTGCAATTTCAACATAAACAATTAAGTATATACTAGCAATTGACTCTTTTACTAAAAAATACCTGAAACAGGTATTACATGGCACTATTACCAATGGAGTATTTGATTAAAATAAAATCACATTTAGGACTTCATGACAGTCCACATTGTTAACCCAGCAAGTGGCCGGACTTATCAGTTATCACAAACAGTGGATGGATGGATGGATGGATGGCAAAAGATTAGTAGGTTACCTCAAGTTCATCAAGTTCCCAATCAAATTCACAGAAAACCTATAAGAAAAGATCAAATATAAAATGAAAGAGAATATTTCAGTAAACGTATCTTGTAATATCTGAGCTCTGAAGGAAATTCTGTTTTAGACTTCTAAATACAAACAAATCATACAGGTTTGGGATCTATTGGGTAAATGATAGGAACAATAGTGCTCTGTTCAAACTCATCTTCCTTGAAGGGGTGGTAGAAATCTGTGAACATATTAGACATTTGTGAGTTGACTTCCCGTTGAGGCTATGTACACAAAATAACAGCACATAACTCCACAGTGAGCACCAATGAAAAAGTACTGAATTCAAGAAATGGATTTAATACATGAATTGGTGAAAACATACATTGGTGAACCATTTTCATGACACATGACCGAAAGAGTAAAGCAACACAGCATGTCAATATGAAATGGTGCACAATGTCATTACTCTTTGTCAATTACATTAAATAGACTATGACTCATGTGCATGTGTGGTGAAAAGAATGAAACAAAACAGAAACAGAATACAAGTTCAGCAAGTATCAAAATTCCATGGGTGAATGACAAAATAAGTTCAATTTAGTCTCATAAGGCACACAACAAAATTTTATGTCAACTAGAATGCATAACTATATAATGCATATCTCAGCAAGGAAATGCATATCCTATTAGAAACATTTATTCAGTGACAGTTAAAAAAACACACCCCAGCCCAAGTATAAAGCAGAGTACATCCAACATCCAAGGAAATGCATCACTAAAATACTGCCATTGATTAGCGAAAATGCAAATATTAGCAAGGTAAAATATATTCACTCACATGGTAAGCAATATTCAAACTTCTTCACACGCTCCAACTTCAAATGTTTTAAGCCAGCTCTATGAAGACAATGAAGACGATTTAATTCAAAAAGTTGACCGCTTAAGGCCAAAAGGTGCTACCGATGTTCGACAGAGAAGTGTGGGATGCAAAAATTATTTTAGGTAAGCGTGTTTAACTTAAAACAATCTGTACAACAATAGAATTGCTGCTCGCCCTAATTTTGAAAAAATACTACTATACTAGATAGAAGCCCACAATAAAAACAATTGTTGGGACAAATAAGTGAATAAGAGCACCTCAAAGGTAGACCATAAATCTCTGGACCAACTATTAGGTTTTAAAAGGCATTCTAGGGGCCCCAACAATAGGATGATCATAAAACTAGCAGAAAGTATAAAGTATTTCAATGCACAATGCAACATACCTTCTTTGTGTACAACCCAATATAAATATTTGGGATTTGAGTCTTTCAACCTGAGAACCCCTGAATGAACAAGAAATTGAATAAACAATTCGCATAAAAAATAAAACAACGCACCCAGTAAAATTCCTTTATGTGAATTTAACAAATATATGACAATACCTATTGTCCAAAGGTATATATGGAATCCAATCCATTTTCATCTGTTTCATGGGCACTATTTCTTCAGCTTCCCTCTGTACAGAGTTTATTCCAATTTTGTCTGAAGGTGGAAAAGGTGAAACAACCTGTCCAATAAGAGATTTGGGAAGAGAGTTGAGGAAAATATCAAAACTAATTAAAAGTAGCAAGACATCAAATTGATGAAGTAGAAGGACACAATTGCAGAAATGCTATAAATACAACAAGATCAATGTATGACAACAGATGTTTGCTTTTTTTTATTCATGCGCCTTAGAACAAATGGGATACTTTATAGACTTAAACTCCTAGGCAAAAAGACAATTCATGTCCAGATAGGAGTAACATAAAAAGCTTGAGAACTTACAGCAACCACAACTGGTATGCAAGTGATTTTTGATTGACCTTGGAATGAAACCAATTGTGCTGCAGCAAATAAAGGAGAATTTAGAACAAGATAATTGATAACAAGAAAAGAAAAAATACAAAAGGTATGTAAACAATGTGTTATGCCAAGACAGTTGATAATGACAAACCAAAACTGTTGAAATAGTATAGGCCAGTAAAAATGCTAAAAATCTAGACCATACTGTAAGCAATTAATGCAACAAGGCAGTAGATCGCCGAAAGCCACATTAATATTTAATTCTATTGTAGAATAATCTTGCCCATCACATAGAAAACATATGATGTAATTCAACCAGAATGCTATAGTGCACACTATCTCCAATATGGA